GAGTTTTTATGTATTTAGTAGTAATTAGAAGTACGTGGTCTCTAAGCTACGAGTACACATTCAGCAATCGTAGGTTCTTGTTCCTTTTTTTACCCGACTGCGCCAGAAAAAGAGTAATTTTTCTCATCATACCTATTTGATGTTGGATTTGTTTCAATTTTAGTTGAATAGTTAGAGAGCTTTAGGTGTGTTAAAAACCACAAGGTCACTATCGAATTAAGGCTTTATTCTCATTGTTTTATGAGATTAGTCATGTGGACACCCAACCTTACAATCAAATATTTATTCCCCATACCTCATTATTGATAATTCCATTGAATTCGTCATAACTTTTGTTTTGTTTAAGGATAATTTTAAGTCCGGGTTAGAAGGGATTGGGTGATTGGCACCATTGTTTTTGAATGGGATTCTTTTGAATGGAAACGTAATTGGCTTAAAAGCTTTATTCAAATCATCGCTGTGCCGAAATTGTTTTTGATGTTTGAAAACAATACCCAGGCAGGTGATGATAAATCAATATACCTACAATTTAAATTCATTTGGTCTTGTTGATGCATTTTCCTTGACTAACTAACTTCTCTGAAATGAGCTTTAAATATTTTTTTTACTTAAATAGAAATTACACATTTTAATGCCACTTTTAAAAAGCAAGTACACATCCTTCAAGATAATCTCGAGAGTGAGTTAATCCAACATTAATGCAACTGTAGTTTTATTGGATTGCAACTAAAAGTGTACGTAATGAGCTTTAATGCTCAGCGCAGTTTACGATCGGGTCTTAAGTTCAGTGCCAGTTTAGGTCACGATAAATAAGTATTATCTGCACACTGAACTCTATAATCTATGGCTACAGATAAATTACACGTACCTAGGTATTAGACGCCGCAACATTTAAAACTGAGGATTTCCATAGTTCTAACTTGAAATCACAATTGCAGTCTTAATTTAAGTGTCTTTTCAAAGTAAGAACCTTAAAAGTTGTGTAACTGCCATAAAAACCGAGGAAGCTTAGAACTAAATAAAGCAAAAAGCACACAATTGTCATAGTCTTGAGAAATTACGTATAGTCCTATGTCACGAAATACGGTAGGTATTTCGTTAAGAGGTTGTTGATAAGGTCTCCTATCACAGGCGGATATGAGCCAATTTAGAAGATCATTATCCCAAATATGCAACTTTTCAAGACAGCCTCTCAAATGCTTAGTGCTCTGTGCGTGTGTTAACTGCGCTAGACGCTAGGTTTCCTCCGAAGATAATAACACCCTGGAAATAACGGTTTAACTTTATTCATATCTAATTATGTAGGTACTGAAGGAAATTATTCGATATCATGTTTTATTTTCCATTATAAATTACACTCGATAATTTAAAACATAATACGACGTATTATCAGTGTTTAACCATAACAAGAAGGGTAATAAGACTTGATTTAATAATGCAATGTCATGGAACTGCGGCAGTTATAATATGTGAGCATATTATTTTCTTAATTTTCTATCCTTGTAGATAGTTATTTGACTTTCTAATCTACGTGTATGCAAATTCAGTAATGTAACGTGATTTGATATTAAGTGCATTTTTAATCACTGAAGTTATTGATCGTGGTAAATATATTTATCCTGGAAGTTGAAAATGAGATGATAAGTTACCATCGAACTTTAATCTTTTTTCATTCTTTATGATTTTTAATACTTACTCTTCTTATTTATTTATTTATTTTTTGGGAAACATACAGTTACAATATAATTTAACTTAGGTGCAGTAAGAAAACACATAAAGTTGGTTTAGTTAAGTTATTTCTTGTATGGTTACACGTTTATATTTTATTCGTGAACAATGCTTAGGAAAAGTTGTAACGTTTCTAAGCTCCTCTTTAATTTGGCAATTAAAATATTAAAACGAGTACAAGAAACTTATTCATTTTGTTATTTGTAAGAAGGGTTTATTCAAATGAGAATCTGGTGCTGATTGACCACGGCTCAGGTCAGATCCCGACGATTGTGTAAACAAAGCGACTGCTGGAGAAATGGTTCGGTTTTTGTGCGCGGGCGCATCTGGCGCGCATGTGCAACCATAAAACGACCTTTGAGAACTTCGCAAAAACACCATGGACGGGAATGTGTCGATAATTTGAAATAACTGCCGATATTTTAACAATTTGAAGTAACTGTCAATTTTTATACTCGCGCGATATGCGAGTAGGTAATCAAGAAGTCAGAGTGAGTGCTGTTGATAAAAGGAAACTCAAGTTCGAAGATTTTAAAATATTGGTTTTTCAAAAAAAAAAACATTCTTTCATCATAAGTCTTATCACCTTGTAAGATATTAGAAATATCCTATGAGCATACTCAAGTACTTATTTTTTAAGCATTTACTCAACCTTAAGACCGTGCTACATGCTTTTGGACCTACATCTGCCGTTATCTAATTCCGACAGAACATAAAACAGTGCTAGGAATTGTAATAATTTACCCGTTATCGACACTCGTGTGGTTTTATCGACATCACTGCCTCCCCTGACGTCCCTATCGCCATAATCCACACACTACAAATCTCAGGGCCGTTAAAGCTTCAGTGAAACAAAGCACAGTGACTTTGTCTTGTCTGATGAATGGCTAGTTAAGTTCATGTTTGTTTTGTTTTAAATAATGTTTCATTCATAAAAGTTCGAAAGAATTTAGAACATTGTTTTTAACAACGGTTTTCAATTTGTAAATGTCTAAACAATAATTACTCACATAACGATCAGAGATGAATACGTTGTATTCTAATGAATGTTAAATGTATTAGACGCGTTGGCAAGATTCCTGATTACTGCATTTCCATAAGAAAACAAATAGTTAATGCCACACATCAGCTTACTTGCAAGCTTTAACATTACTTAAACGTCAACGGGCAAATAATTAGAACCATAACGACCCTCGATTGCAAAATTTTCTCACAGAAACAAACAAAAAGACAAATTGTCCTTACGACTCGGCGATAAGGTCGAAAGTGTAATTACTTTTCCCTGTATATCTGTATGCCACAACAGGTATCCTGTAGGAAACACAGGACGTGAGGGACGTCCATATAAAAAGCTCACTTAGTATTCAAAGCCACCTCCTGGCAAGTTTATGATCTGGGAATGACAGTACTAAGTGAAAAGTAATTTCAATATTGATTGGTTTATGTGCAAGCACAAACGGCGATTTATTTCAAGAATCCTCTTAATAGCTATTAAGATAAATTGAAATAAAAAATGGCATTCTTCAAGGCACTCACTGCGCCGGGACCACTCTTATTTTATCATAAAAATTCTGCATGATGTTGCTGTAATTGGCTATAAATAAAAACATGACACTTTTAATGACGCTTTTATACAGTTTTAATAAAATCCTGTCTTACACAATAACGTGTAGGCAGTAATTATTTTTAAACACATGCGTGATAGAAAACATTGTTTTGTTGTTATTCAGTTTTTTGGAAAAGGATTAGAAATGGTAATTTTACTTGTTTTGTCATTAGGGTTTCTGATTTCTCGACTTATTTTTTTTCTCGAGTTTCGGGAATTCTCGAGGCCAAAGTCTCGAGTTTTCTCGGGTCTCGAGTATTTTAATTAAAACTGTTGAAATCGGTTGAAATTTAATAAAAACACGAGTTTTTATTAATGTTATAATGTGTCTGGGTTATAATCAATAATACTGTAAAGTTTCAACAAAATCCGTTCAGTAGTTTTTGCGTGAAAGAGTAACAAACATCCAGACATCCACACAAACTTTCGCATTTATAATATTAGTAGGATAATTATAACTTAGTAATTAACTAAAGGAACAAAAGTCATAAAGTCGCGTGTACTTTAAGGATTAATAACCATAAATATCTGGAGCTCCAATTGAATCACTTGTTTTCCAAAGAACACAAGTCCAAATTAATTGAAAAATTACGATAATAAACCTACATTTACAAACAAAAAAAAACTTTTAAATAAATTTTTAAACTTAAAGATAACGACTTGAATAAACGTATTTACGAGTACCTAAACTAACAGATTGTTAACAAAAAATTTTCAGTCTTTAAATCAGTCAGTTATACAAACATAATAAAATATAGCATACTCGTAGGTGAACATTATTAGTTTCGGTTAAGATCATTACTTGCAAATCAAATTAGTTAAAAAAGGAAAGACTAGGCCAGTCTAAACGCAACGTTAACCTATTAAATAATTAAAAACTTACTTTTGTCTTAGAAAATAGGCTTTCAAGAATATTAAAGCTTCAAAATCGAAACTCGAGAATTCTCGAGCTCCAGTAATTTTTTTCTCGTCTCGAATGAAGCCAAATTTCTCGAGTTTTCTCGAGTTCGAGAAAGCTCGAGCAGAAACCCTATTTGTCATACATACAGTCATGTTCGGGTTTCTGATACCATGAACTTATGGGTACTTCTATTTCTTTAGTATTGAGTCGTACTCCGTGTAATTTCTGTAAATATGTTACACGGTTTATTTTGGAACTTTTACTGCGTATTTGCGATTGTATCGAGTTCCATTCGGTTCGGAGAACGGGATACGGCACGATTCCAACTGGCAGCCAATGCAACCGGATATTTCTTCACGTCTCCACTATCTGATAGGACTTCCGTGGTGATTCGACTTAATTTATTGAGATGTTCGGATACGGGCCAAAAGCGATGTGTAAATTAAATTCTTCTGAAATATTATTATAATGTTTTCTATGTTTACATTATTAAGGTCATTAGAATAACAAGCTTGAAATTCTAATTATGTCCAGTAAAGTGTCATTGATCTTTATCTGGAATATCTAGAACAACAGGTCGTCAATAGATGTGTTTGATGGCGTACCTATAAAGACATCTTCAGTTCATACTAAATACCGTGGCATCTAAAGCAGTTGAAACAAGATCGAATTTTCTACAGCAAAAGTCAAATGTGCCTACTGTATTTGAAGTTAAGGCAATATCTAAAGGGGTAATGAAATAAACCAATATTGTTCTTGTTGCAGATGGCACCCGCTCCCTGGTGGAAGCGGACATCAACGAGCCCCTTCGCCTCGTGTGCGGGATGGAGCGCAAGACTCCGGTGCATTGGTACAAGGATGGACAGCTTGTACAGAGCGCCAAGCAGATGTATGTCCTTTTCCATTAATTTAAAAAAAAAATCTTGCATTTAGATTTTAGTCAATCTTCAAAAAGATTTCGTTGTTTGTGATTTTTTTAAATAATTTGGAACTATGCACGAGATCAAACTGTTATCATTCAGCATATTATCTTCAATAAGTAACTGTATTTTGAAAGAGTATTTAAATCTCAGACATAAAAATAAAAATATCACAAAAACAACAACAAATTCTTCGATCCGACATCTAAATTAGAATCCAGATACGCACACACGCAGCCGACTTGCATCAATATTTGTGCAGTTCTATCCGCGGACCGAAAACACGCGATAACTCATATGCAACTCCCGCGCATACAGCTCTATTTGAGGCGTTCGAAAACAAACTGCCCATCAGGAGATGTATCAAATCAATCATTCAGAAATCACGGAGGAATGTAGTCGATTTGGAGAACATGCGAGCTATTTTGAATTGGCAATTTTAGATTCCACGCATAGTAACTGATTTTTTCAGCCAAATGACGTCCACTGCTGGACAAAGGCCTCCCCCAAGGTTTTCCACAATGAACGGTCCTGCACTGCCCGCATCCAGGCTCTTCCCGCGACCTTTACCAGATCGTCGGTCCACCTAGTAGGAGGCCTGCCCACGCTACGTCTTCCAGCCCGTGGTCGCCACTCGAGAACTTTCCTGCCCCAACGGCCATCGTCTCTACGAGCTATGTGCCCCGCCCACTGCCACTTGATTTTAGCAATTCTGCGAGTTATGTCGGTTACTTTGGTCATTTGGCTGAAACGAACTGATTTTTTATTGAAAATGCTGATTGTTGAAAAATAGGTGAATTTTGATTATTTTTCTGTTTCTAGGCTTCGAATAAGAGATTTCCAAGAAAAAGACGCTGGAGTCTACGCGTGCCAGAGCATCAACGATACCACCAAAGAACTGAGGGTCACCGTCATAGTGAAGACTGACAGTCGGGATACTTTAAGAGGTAACGATGAAAATTAGTTTTCATTTTCAGATTCTTGAGAATTTGATGTCTTTTAAGATACATACAAAGAACCAAAGAACATATTGACTTGTAAACTCTTTGAGCTTCTTTAAAAACAACCCACACGGCAAGAGTAGAACAAAATTTAATAGCTGCACAAAAGAACGAACTTCTATCCTTTACGTTTTCGGTTTGATGTAGTGCTATTTTCATGAATATTGACAACTTTATTGGCCAGATGTGCAAACATGCCAATTCTGTCTTTGGCTTCGCTGCAATATTGCGCTCATGTGGAAACTTTGGGAGCATTAATAATATTTTTGGAGGACACGATTATCGTGTGGACAATCAAAATAAATGGCTTCCCGTGTGAAATTATTTTCGGATGTCTTGGATTGGTAAAGTCAACGGTCGAATGTGGTTTATGGTTATCCCTGTTATTTATGATTTTTTCCAATCGTTTTGGTTAATATCCTTTGCAAATCAAATCTTCATGTAAATTAGAATGTTTATTACCCCTGTTGTATGATGGTCACCCATGTTCATTCCAGCGAATTTAAGTCTAGTTACTGCAGGAACAGGACCCTCTCTAATTTGCAAGAGGCGAATAGAAGATTTGATAATAATTCTACAACCCCTCTGGCCAACGTAGGCAGATGCTATAGCTGCGGTTAAATAGTAAAATCTCACAATCCTGAATCTACCAATATAATACTAAAAGCTGAGTTGCACCACTAAACTTTAACCGTAACTATAACGATAAATGGTATTTTTTGTATGTAGTTTGATAGATTTTTGACGTTTGTTAAAGTTAAAGTAAGATGGTGCAACTCAGCCTAAATGTTACTCATTTCACAGAGTACCAAGCAGACATGGACGTGGAGCGCCCTCTGCCGGAGATCCTGTCACAGCACAGCGCGCTAATGACCGCCGACGATGGCAACACCAGCGCCGAAGTCAGGCCCGACAACGGCTACAGGGATGAAGATACTGATGACCGGAACGAAAAGGTAGCTCTTTATTTCTTTTAGCCACAATGAGGACGCTCTTGGCCTGCATCTCACTTGATGGAAAGTGATGATCAGGCCGAAGGAAGAAATAAGCTTCACCCAGAATCCTCAAGCACAGAAGAACTGGCTATCTAACATCTAACTGCCGGAACATATTATTGGGAAGTCTTTAAAGTTCGTACGAAAAAGATCTTGGCGCAAGTTCTTAATCGAATATTTTAGTGGAGCACCTAAAGGTACCATTGAAAATCAACGCCCAGCCCCACGATTAGGTTCTAAAATTTTGGGACCAACGTATGACGTAACCTGTAATATAATTCGTTTGCAGGATCACCCCGGCTACGGACACGTGGACAACAGCATCAAGAAGTACCCGCCGCGGTTCAAGCATCCTTCCAGGATGTATTCCCTGGAGATGAAGCCCGCTGGCAGCCTTATCAGGCTGAAGTGCGCTGCTGAAGGTAGCTCGGTCTTTTTAGTCCAACAGTTATATCTCAAAGTTACATACGTAACATAGCTTAGGCTTCTTGGATTTGGATTGCAATGGACGGAAGTCGAAGCTTAACTTCGAGCTCCTCCTATGTTCTTCTGATTAATTTCGTTGCGGGTCTAGACAGTTAACTTTCCCTCGGTACAAACTTGACCTTCACTGGTTGGGTTTTTATTATGGTGCGCTGTAAATCCTGGCTACACAGGAGTTTCAGCGGTGCGAACGAGAGGTGAGCTTAGGCTTCTTTGCCCTAGAAGTTGGTTACAAACAGTACCTTCTTCTCAGAAAGTCTTATGTGTACAAACACCCAAATCTTATTAAAGGTTTTTTGCTGCGTCAAGAATTCGATGGACAGCTCACTAATATTTACTAGTATAATGTAACATCAAGTCGGAGTTAGTTAAACTCATCAACTAGTTAAACTCAAAGGCCAAAATACCCAAGGCTACCTTCATATACTGGGTGACGTATACTTACATAGGAACGGATAAAACCAACATTAAATATCCCTTGATACAACTTGACCATGACAGCAAAAATGTCGGGTAAACACTGTTGATGAACAACATCTATTACCCAAACTCTATTTATATCCAGACCTTTGAATATTGTGAGCCGTAACATCACTGCGAGTGGTGTAACTAAAAGCATTTTTACGAGCCATAAACTTTCGCAGGGAACCCGACGCCGAATATAACGTGGAGGAAGAACGGCGGGAAAGTGTTCAGGAGCTTCGGTCAGCCCACTTATGGGAAGTGGGCGATGGTTCTGGACGAACTGACCAAGACCGACAATGGGAACTATACTTGCATCGTCTGCAACGAGCTGGGATGCATCAATCATACCACCGAGCTTGGTGTTCAAGGTAAGGTGACACATTAAATTTTCTGGACTTAATTTTTAACTGATATCGAATAACTTAATGATAAGAATAATTTTCGTTGTATATTTACGTCAAACATGATATTTTGAAACTAATTGGTTCAGCCCAATTTTAAAAGTAGATAAAACGTACTTGCTACCTTACCTTTTCTTGCCTTGTCTCAAAAATTAAGTTAAACTCATTTTACAAAAGTTACATACAGAACAATAAAATTCTCTGAAGATAAATTTTGATCTGAATAACTTTTTAAAACGATACAGAAGAAAATTCTAGCGTAATTGCTACAGTTTACGTTCCTCCAAAAACATCTACTTGTACCACAAGAATTCCTAAATTAAGCTAAACCTGGGCATCCGTAGAGCGCTACCCATCGAGCCCTTACATAAAGGAAGGGTACCCCGGCAACCTCACGGTGCTGGTCAACGACACCGTCCGCCTGTCGTGCCCACCCATCTCCGACCTGGAGCCGCAAGTGTATTGGGTCCGAACCTCGAACAAGACGGCGGACGACGACGGGACCCCGCTCAATGAGACCGTTGTAGTCCAGAAACTTATCGAGGTTCCTAAACTGTTTTTACGGTGACGGCCATTTTGTAAACGGTGTAGGTGTCTATGGCGGCATTGGTTTAAATGTGATGAAGTCTTGCAAACTATAGACTCATTTTTTTTCATCATCATCAACAGCTAACATGATCTTCAAAGTGGGCAAATGGAAGAGATTTTTTTTCAAAGAGCAACTATTCTTTATTGTAAATGGTTCACAAGAACTCAGCATAGATTTAAGCTTGTGATTGCTCCAAATATTGTAATCCTGCCAATCACAGGCTGTAACCATGCTAAAGTTCAAATTTTGGTCAATAATGCCAGTTTCATCAAGTGTTGATGATGAAGCAAGTGCTATAGTTTTGCAAGATACATCATTCGTTTATTGTAACTAACGGGAAAAAATATTTGTCCTTATCATAATACACAATTGGTAAATGGTATCTATGTCCAAATTTAGGAGGCGGTAAAATAGGTGACGGCATTGGTGGTGGCAATATTGTGGTTAATTGTAACTAAATAGAATTATTAACAATAAAAATTTCATGTATATTGTGACTAACATTAGACAATTTCCTGTAAGCATTTCCACTAGCAATAACATAGGTACGTTTTTGTAGAGCGTCTATACGCCAAGCCGGTGTTGACGCAAGGCGCTGAGAATCAGACCCGGCTGATCGGGGAGACGGCTAGGTTCAGTTGCGAGTTCCTGACGGATATGCATCCCTGGGTGTACTGGATGTTCTTCAGGAAGGACCAGCGGCTGTACAATGACACGGTGGACGATCCCTCCGCCAAGGAGGTGATCATTACCAACGATAGCAGCAAGATCGTGGCGGTGAGGGCTCACCAACGGCCGGTGTGCGTGTGGCGCTTGGAATGTTGCATGGCATTGATACAATCTTTTGTTTTGCCAGAAAACTTCAGCTAATAGTCCTTAACCTTGCTCTCGAGATCTCAAAGGATCTCACTCAAAACATCGATGTTTTGAAAAGGTTCAAGTTTAAGTTTTCTGGTAACAACATTTTGAGTGTTGCGTGTGCTTTGTTGTCAAATTGCATTTCAATACTGTAGCTGTATTTTGTTGGCGTCTTGCATGGACTAGTGTAAAAAAAATTAAGGTAAGTACCGTCTAAATTTTTAGATCGAATGACTAATTCATATTTCAAGTCCGTTGACTCATTTCAAAGAATCCTGTAATTTTTAAACCTTTTTAGAATTATGCTTTGTTTTCTAATAGTGTGTGTGACAAGTATGTGTGTGTTAACTTAAAAATGCAATGACATCAAAGGTATACTCTGCATTTCCAGAGCGATAATGCGTCAGACAGACCCGAACAGCTGACAATTTACAACGTGACGAAAGAAGACGAAGGCTGGTACGTGTGTGTGGCGCTCAACACTTTGGGCAACACCACCGCGAAGGGGTACCTCACTGTACTTGAATGTAAGTAATCATCAACATCATTTCCGTCACAGGTTGTCCACTGTTGAAAATAGGCCTCCCCCAATAATTTCCACATCACACGGTTAGTAGCGGCCTGCATACAGCGGCTCCCTGCTACTTTTATCAGGTCGTCGGTCCACCTTGTGGGTGGACGTCCCACGCTGCGTTTTCCGGTACGTGGCCTCCACTCCAGAACCTTGCTGCCCCATCGGTCGTCAGTAACAAGAAATTATTACGGACGAATTTCAAATCAAAGTTTACAAAGGGATTAAATGTGTCAGATTAATGTAACACGCGACTTCCACCATATCACCGGTCCACCTGTGTTCCGACCCGTGGTAGCCACTGGAGAACTTTTCTGCAATCACAATCACTACATCACTACATAATATAAAATAAAGTCTCTTTCCGCTGTCTGTCTCTTTAGAACCACGCAACGATCTTTAGAACCACGCAACGGATTTTGATGTTTTTTTTTAAAATAGATAGAGTGACTCAAAAGGAAGGTTTGTAGGTATAGAACATGCATATTAAAGAAGAGAAAAGCCGGGAAATTCCATTGCAACTGTGCGAAGCCGGGGCGGGTCGCTAGTAAATTCATAAATATTGAATAGCATAAACATTTTCAGCTATCCCAGAAAAAGAGCCCGTCGACCACCGAAAGCACGCGCTCCTCATCAACATCTTAACCGCCGTCCTCGGCGCTGCATTCTTCGTGGCGGCCATCATAGTCGTCATGGTGTTCAAGAAGCTGAAGCGAGAGAAGATAAAGAAGCAACTGGCCATAGAGACGGCGCGGGCTGTTATCGTGACGCACTGGACGAAGAAGGTCACGGTGGAGAAGCCCGCGATGAATGGCACGGTGAACAGCACGGCTGATGGCTTGGTAAGTTACAGCATAGTTAACTAATTACTTGAGTATTAAAGTTGGGTGACAGTTGACAATAGGTTACAGGGCTAGTTTACATGGTATTTATTTTCATTTACCCAAATCGTCTGGTCATCGTAGATAGTATAGGTCTGTCTATAATAAATATGGAGAGAGGTAATAGAGAGAGTCATGCTCCTGCTGTGGAGACTAAATGACCTGATGATGATTTAACTTCGATAATCGTTTAGTGTTAGAAGAGTAGTGCCCGTTTTCACCATCAATCCTTAATTTTTAAGTGACCCCTATGATAACAAATAATATGAATTTTGTTTTCATAGGGGTCACTTAAAAATTAGGGATTAATGGTGAAAACGAGCATAGGTCTTCTAAGTTCCATGCCGAGCCAGATTTACCAACTTTTGTATCAACTCGAAGTAGATAAAATTTACGACGCAGACTATTGGTTTTTCCTCGCCATTACCTATCCCATCAGTAATTTGGCCACTGAACTAAAACCTCTAAAAGTGGCCCTCTTTAAGTTGAAAAGATTCTTAATTTTGATCATCTTGAATTCAATATCCAAATCACCGAAAGTAATCATAATTTCAATCCCCAGTTAATGCCAGTGGTGAAGATCGAGAAACAGAAGCTATCGCAAGTGCAAGGCAACCACGAGTCCATGCTGATGTCAGAATACGAGCTACCAGTTGACGTCGACTGGGAGGTGCCGCGCGCGTCACTCGCCTTGGGCAAAGTGCTGGGCGAAGGGGAGTTCGGGAAGGTCGTGAAGGCGGAATGTGTGGGCATATTGAAACCAGGAGTGCGGTCGGTGGTAGCTGTTAAGATGTTAAAAGGTAAGACACTTGGAAATCTTAGGATTAAGTAGATCAAAAATGAGGAGATCCGCAGGAAAAGTGACTGACTAGCCCGCTGAATTGCTAAAATCAAGTAGCAGTTGGCGGGGCACATATCTCTCGTAGAACTAAAATGTTAAAAGGTAACTTGGAAAACTTGGGATTATTTCCGTAGTTGACTAAAATCAAGTGGCAGTGGGTAGGGCACATAGCTCGCGTAACTGATGGCCGCTGGGGCAGGAAAGTTCTCGAGTGAAGGAAGACGTAGTGTAGGCAGGCCCCCCACTAGGAGAATTGTCGATGCTGTCTGAGTACGAGCTACCAGTTGACGTCGACTGGGAGGTGCCGCGCGCGTCCCTAGCCTTGGGCAAAGTGCTGGGAGAAGGAGAGTTCGGGAAGGTCGTGAAGGCGGAATGCGTGGGCATATTGAAGCCAGGAGTGCGGTCGGTGGTGGCCGTTAAGATGTTAAAAGGTAAGAACCTTGGAAATCTTGGGATTAAGTAGATCAGAAATGAGGAGATCCGCAGGAAAAGTGACTGACTAGCCCGCTGAATTGCTAAAATCAAGTAGCAGTTGACAGGGGAACATATCTCTCGTAGAACTAAAATGTTAAAAGGTAACTTGGAAAACTTGGGATTATTTCCGTAGTTGACTAAAATCAAGTGGCAGTGTGTAGGGCACATAGCTCGCAGAGCTGATGGCCGCTGGGGCAGAAAAGTTCTCGAGTGAAGGAAGACGTAGTGTGGGCAGGCCCCCCAATAGGTGGATTGTCGATGTTAATGTTGGAGTACGAGCTGCCAGTTGACGTCGACTGGGAGGTGCCGCGCGCGTCCCTGGCCTTAGGCAAGGTGCTGGGAGAAGGGGAGTTCGGGAAGGTGTGTGGGCATATTGAAGCCAGGAGTGCGGTCGGTAGTAGCTGTTAAGATGTTAAAAGGTAAGACCTTGGAAATCTTGGTATTGTAAGGAGGGTCCGCCTGGCTAGCTACTACCATCTTACCTAAGTTTGTCGCCATTACAACAATTTTAACAGCATTGTTGTGTTCCGGCAGTTAGAGGTAAGATAGCCAGTTCCTCCGTGGTTGAGGATTCCGGGTGAAGCTCGCTTCCACCTTCGGCCTGATCGTCACTTACCATCAGGTGAGATACAGGCCAAGAGCTTCCTCGTTGTGGATAAAAAAAAGGGGTCATTTCCGCGTGCCTCGCTAGAACTGGGCAAAGTGCTGGAAGAAGGAGAATTTGGGAAAATGTTAAAAAGTAAGATGCTTGGTTACCAACCCGTCTGGCCAGCGTGGGGAGTGTAGACCAAATCCTCCATTTTAATTTTGAAGAGGGTCGCTCCTGCAGTGGAGTCAAAATGACCCGATGATGATAATGATGATGAACACGCTTGGAAATCTTGGGGTTATATCCTCGGAGTTTCCCTGCTTGATCGAATCAGAAATGAGGAGAACCAAAGTAACCGACATAGCCCGCAGAATTGCTAACTTTCAACGCCACTTGGTTCCAATTAAAAGTCACATTTTTGGTCAACTCCTGTTCCTTCAATACTCTGTGATCTAGTGGTAAGACCACCTACTTCAGACGCGGAGGTCCCGGGTTCGATTCCCAGTGGGCGCAGATTTTTCTGTTCGGTTTGGCTGGTGGTAGGGCTTGTTCTAAGTCCGCCTGGCTAGCTATCTTACCTAAGTCTGTCGTCACAACAACAATGTTGACAGCATAATCAGTTAGATGTGAGATAGTCAGATCCTCCATGGTTGAGGAAACCGAGTGAAACTCGCTTCCACCTTCGGCCTGATCATCACTTACCATCAGGTGAGATACAGGCCAAGAGCATACTCGTTGTGGATAAAAAAAACTAAACTTTTTTCTAAATAAAAATACTAAATTGAATCATGATTTGTGTTCCAGAGGGCCACACTGACGCGGAAATGATGGCTCTGGTATCTGAGATGGAGATGATGAAGATGATCGGCAAGCACGTCAACATCATCAACCTGCTCGGCTGCTGCACGCAGGACGGCCCGCTCTATGTCATCGTGGAGTACGCGCCGAATGGAAACCTCCGGGAATTCCTGAGGAACCACCGCCCTGGGAACAGGTGGGTTTTGAAAAAGTTTCTTAGCTGCTAGTGCCCGCCATCCGCTCTGTCATCATGGAGAGAGCTATGAGGAAACTATCTCCATGCGAAACCCCCCGGTTTGGCGAAAGAGTTTCTTTGATTCTAGTCTAAAGCCAATACTAGGTATGCCCTCTAGTCTGCGGGCTGCTTATGTCATCGTACTCACCTGACTGAAATCTACATGAGTTTTTGAGGATCGTCTGGCCAGCGCACACAGGTGAAAATTGATCAAAAGTTGGCCAAAATTACGTTAAGTGTGTTTATGCCTATATATTGCTGTAGTCTGTCTAACATAATAGTTTAAAGGTGATTTAAATAGAAAAACAAACAAATGTTTTCATTGATGTATTTAGTCTTACTAATAATTTGTTAAAAATTTGATAAATTAAAAAAAATACAATTACGATGCAGAATTTATTTTTGGTTCTTTTAAAAGTTTTATTACATCTTAAGGATAGGGAATACTAATGGAATGCTATTCTGGGAACTGCCTGAAAACATATTATGAGTATTTTTAAAATTTATAAAAATTTACAGTTTTGCAATATTTTGTTTAGGTGACGCAGTTTGACGCAGCTAATTTTGGTGTCATATGAAATCCATAGATATGTTCTTTCGAAATATGTAAAAGAAACGGGTTGATCGCGCTTGATCATGAACTTTTTCACTGTTTAAAAAAAATTAACTGTTAAAATTATAGACTTCTATACAAACCTATATATCTAAACCATAGTAAGTAATGTAGACTGTTTAGTAATACAGAAATAATAAACTAACCTGGAAGTATAGAATCCATATGTTTTATACCAAATATCAACTAAATAAAAGTTAAACGTTGTTGTTAAACAAGAGCTAAAAATTAAAATAAATTACTCAACAAGAAAAACTGTTTAAATCAAATGTTGTGGGTATCTGGATAAAAAGTGTTAAACTTTTTAAATATCATTTATAGATGGCACCATATGTCTTGTTCCTATATTAGGTTACTAATTTAGAATCGGAGTAACTTTGCTTTTTTTAATTTTGGCCACAAATTACGTTTATTTCACCTGTGTGCAGCGTGAGAAATGTAGGTAGGTACGCCAAATCCTCCATTGCTTCTGATAAATTAGAAAAGGTCATGCCCTTGCAGTGTAAAATAAGTGACCTGATAAAAATGATGAACCTTCCGTGTCCTAAGTACGCTGAAAATTAATCAATGTCGTGTAACGTACTTTATTCTCCTGATTATTTAAGAAAAAGTTGTACATAATAGGCCAAATAATACTTAGGAGTAATAGACCCTTGGCCAAATAAAAATATTGATGATGATATTTAATTTTTTTAAATTGTCATTGCTCATATAAATCACTTCAAAGTTTTAATTTTAAAATTTTCAGATATGAGTCAGACACAGAACCTCTCAAAGAAAAGAAGACCCTCACACAGAAGGATCTTGTCTCCTTCTCTTACCAAGTCGCAAGAGGAATGGAATATTTAGCATCGCGAAGAGTAAGTATTTTCTTAGCAATTTCTTCTTCCAGCAAAATGTTGCGGCAGTAAAATTAAGTAAAGCCTTAACGACCATAATAGATACGCTAAAAGTAATTGATCAATTTCTTAATATCATGACATGTACGAGTAGGTGAAATTAAATGCAAAGAGAAGTCAAGATATCCGCTTTTTACCCGACTGCGTCAGGAGGGTTATTGATTGAAGTTTTTTACACAGCGCTATCTAAACCCAACCTTAATGTTGGTTACCAAACAAAGATTTTTTAGGTCAGATCGTTTGACTTAGCCCCTTCAAAGCAACTGTAGCATTTAGTAACATTTAGTTGAGTTTACACATTTCTTGCGAGAATTACGCCCATGATTAAGAGCGCTTTCACATTGGGGCGTTAGAAGCGTGACAGCAGCGGCGTTTTTATAATGTGAAGGCATGCATCCGCTCAGGGCCGGATCTACCTATGGGCTGATTGGGCTGCAGCCCAGGGCCCCGGGGTTACAAGGGGCCCCTAGATCCCGCTAAAAAGTAGGCCATAATTTGAAAAAAAAAAATGTCTGTAAAGTCGGTTTACGGACGATAATTTTACGTGACAACGTCATAAGAAGTTTCAGCCCAGGGCCCCACAAATTCACGATCCGGCCCTGCATCCGCTGTCACATAGCATGAAATTTTCGACAGCGCGTTTGTCGCGCTGCAAAATCGCTTAAATGTGAAAGCGCTCTAAGGGTATTTGCGATTTGTTTCCAGTGCATACACAGGGACCTGGCTGCCCGCAACGTGCTGGTCTCAGACGAGTGCGTGCTCAAGATCGCGGACTTCGGGCTGGCCAAGGACGTGCACAGCAACGACTACTACCGCAAGAAGACCGAGGGCCGCCTGCCCGTCCGGTGGATGGCGCCCGAGTCCTTGTACCACAAGGTGTTCACGACGCAGACTGATGTGTAAGTTTATTATTGTGTTGAGCTGAGATATTCTTGTGTTGAGCTGAGACATTCTTGTGTTGAGCTGAGATATTCTTGTATTAAAGTATCAAAGTGAGCGCGAACGACGCAGACTAACGTGTAAGTTTATGGAGATGATTTCATTGCGTTGAACTTAGATATTTGGATTGGGGTCGTTAATCTTTAAATATTATATCAGGCAACAATAACGCAAAAGTTCAGAGTGGAATGGTCCGCAATGCCAAGCCGTTATCCGTTGTCAAAAGCACCTTCAACCTTCTGGCCGTCACCTAGAGAAGAGAATCCATATCCTATCCCTGTGACATATAATTAGCAAGAGCGGTCGTTGTGGGAATTCTTGGGGGTGGCCTTTGTCCAGCAGTGAACGACATTTGGCTGAAACGTAATGGATTTTTGTAGTTAATAAACCGCTAACTTGAATTCATCTGGAGCCTCGTCACGTTGATTTTTTTATCCACAAAGAGGAATTTCTTGGTCTGCATTTCACATTCTCACCTGAAGGAAAGTGATGATCGATTCCAGTAGATTATTGCTCTTCCAGCTTGTACTCATTCTCCTAACAGTGTGCTTACCATGAGTTTACGTTAGATGTGCTCGCTAGCGACTGCGTAAAAAAATGACATTAATTGTATGACATATTGTGCAGCGCCCCTAGCGGCTACTTTCAAGAAACAAAATCTTCATAGAGATATTCGCTAGCGAGCACACCTAACGTAAACTCATGGTAGGTGCACAGGTCTAATGTATACCTAAAACATTAGTGCTTCCAGCTTGGACTCATTCTCCTGACCGATCTTCATTGGTATACCTCGTTCGTTCGTTCGTTTCAGCCGAAAGACGTCCATTGCTGGACAAAGGCCTCCCCCAAGGTTTTCCACTATGAACGGTCCTGCGCTGCCCGCATCCAGGCTCTTCCCGCGACCTTCACCAGATCGTCGGTCCACCTAGTCTTCCGGCTCGTGCGTGGTCGCCACTCAAGAACTTTCCTGCCCCAACGGCCATCAGTTCTACGAGCTATGTGCTCCGCCCACTGCCACTTGATTTTAGCAATTCTGCGAGCTATGTCGGTTACTCCGGTTCTCCTGCGGATCTCCTCATTTCTGATTCGATCACGCAGGGAAACTCCGAGCATAGCCCGCTCCATCGCCCTTTGGGTGACCTTGAGCCTTCTTATGAGGCCCATAGTAAGCGACCACTCGACCTACTCGTATACCTATGAACATATTATTCGTCCGCAGCTGGTCGTTCGGCGTGCTGCTGTGGGAGATCATGACGCTGGGCGGCACGCCGTACCCCGCGGTGCCGGGCCAGTACATGTACCAGCACCTCAGCGCCGGACACCGCATGGAGAAGCCGCCCTGCTGCAGCCTCGAGATGTGAGTCACGATTATTATAATCTACTATATAAAAATAAGTCGGGTTTTCCTCCCTGACGCTATAACTCCAGAACGCACGAACCGATTTCCACGGTTTTGCATTCGTTGGAAAGGTCTCGGGCTCCGTGAGGTTTATAGTAAAGAAAATTCAGGAAAAATTTAAAGGGGATAACGGGATCCACGCGTACGAAGTCGCGGGCGGGCCGCTATCCCAACTAATATTAATATTATATTAATATTATAAATGCGAAAGTAACTCTGTCTGTTTGTCTGTCTGTACTGTCTGTCTGTCTGTTACGCTTTCCCGCTTAAACCTCGCAACCGATTTTGATGAAATTTGGCATAGAGATAGTTTGAGTCCCGGGAAAGAACATAGGATAGTTTTTATCCCGGTTTTTGAAACAGGGACGCGCGCGATAAAGTTTTTCTGTGACAGACAAAATTCCACGCGGGCGAAGCCGCGGGCGGAAAGCTAGTTCTAAATATAAAAGAAGAAACTGACTCACTGACATATCAACGCACAGCCTAAACGGCTTAACGTAGGCACTTGAAATTTGGAAGGGACGTAGCCTAGGTACCGTAGAGGTGCACTAAGAAAGGAATTCCCGAAATTCCCACGGGAACGGGAATTAGCAGGAAAATCCTTTTGTATGAAAAATCTAAACCCCTTAAGTTAGACGCTTGAAGTTTGGCATGCAGGTACCTTAGTAAACTTAAAGCTTAGTTACAACAGGATATTGCAAAATTCCTACGGAAACGGGAGTTAGCGGGAAAAAACATTTGTATGAAAAAATCTAAACCGCGTAAGATAGATGAAGGGGGTAAAACGGGATCCACGCGTACGACGTCGCGGGCGGCCGCTAGTCTTCTATACAGCTGATAATTTTACTATCGGACTATCTGCCTTATGTTCATAGTTTGGCGCAGATTTTAGTATACAACTGGGTCCAGGATCTGATGATGACGCTGGGTGGGGGCCCTAGAAATTCGCAAGAAAACAACACAACCCCTCGTTTGATTTGTATTGACGAAAACTTTGATCCTATAACAGGGCTCAGACGTTATTTTATTAAGTACTCAGTACAGAACTAATTCTATGATGAAATCCATTGCCCAATACATGGAAAAACTATTCTGCTGCTACTTTGGGATGTTAACTTATTGATACTTTTAAAGATTAGACCTCAGGGTCTAACCCTGTACTGTGCCTGTACTGTAATACTGGACAAGCCCTGTTTTATTATAATCATCGTAACCTTCAGCTTGCGTGGAGGAATTTATACTGTAATTATGATCATCCTGGATAAGCCTTCGGAGTCTGAGCCTGGCTACGAATTAACTTACGAGCTGCCTCTCGCCGGTAACAGAACGTTTTTTTTAGCTAATAACGGTGTGAGAACGACATTCTTGGAATAACTCATTTATTTCCCTTTATTTTTTCGTTTATCAAACCCCAACGTGTCATTTCCAGTTACATGCTGATGCGTGAATGCTGGTCGTTCTCGCCCGGCGACCGGCCGTCCTTCACCGAGCTGGTGGAAGACCTGGACAAGATCCTGACGGTGACCGCCAACCAGGAGTACCTGGACCTCGGCCTGCCGCAGCTCGACACGCCGCCTTCGAGTTACGACGGGTCCGGAGACGAAAGCGACAGCGAGTTTCCTTTCATCAAGTAGGATAATGGTAGACTGTAGGGTACCTAGTGCTTGTAAAATTGTGTAAAGCCTCGAGATTAGGGTTGCCAGCTGTCCGGCTAAAGCCGGATGTTTGGCTTTTTACGGTCGTGTCCGGCCAAAAATTGTCTTGTCCGGCCTGTCCGGCTTTTGTTAGGCTTTTTATGTGGTTGCCGCGCCAGGCGAGTCGAGCTACAGAATAATATCAAGCGCACGCATCAGGATGTTGGGCAACCGATGATGATAGTATTCATTCGTAAGCTATGACACTAATTGCACACCCCTCCCCCCCCGTGACATATCCGGCTTTTAGGGTAAAATGTCCGGCCAAATGAAGCACAGAGTCCGGCTTTTGTGTTTTAGGACCTGGCAACCCTACTCGAGATGGACTCGGTAGACTAGTGATGTTGAGACGATAGGTACTGGATAATAGTGTAAAATCTCCCTTTTATAAAATATGAGATGGTAGACTAGTGCCTGAGAGATTTTTATAAATATTGACTAGCATAAAAACTCCTTCATTAAGTGGGCGATGCACTTGGTAAAGCCTGGTCCGTGAGCACGTAGAATCCCGTCCAATGACCCCAAGCTACCCATCCCTATCACTCGCGCGTTATTATGTTGCTGTCGCGACTGTGCGACGGGCGCCCGCAGTGAGTGTGCGAGCGCGACAGCAATATAATTACGCGCGAGCGATAGGGATGGGTAGCTTGGAGTCATTGGACGGGATTCTATGTGCTCACGGACCAGGCTTTAGCATAAAAACCCCTTCATTAAGTGGGAGATGCACTTGGTAGAGTAGTTCTTGTAAATTGTTGGATAGTGTAATACCTTTAGGAGATGGACATAGTAGACCAGTGTTCGTAAAACTTGATAGATAGTGAGCTGGAGAGTGTAAAACTTCGAATTGAACAAGTAGATATGGTGTAAAAACTAGGAGTACTACTGGTATACTAGTTAGTACTTGTAAGATTTGATAGGTACTGTAAAACCCCCTCTTCATTAAATGGGATGTGGATTTAGTAGACCAATGAAGGATTGATGGTGAAAACGGGCATTAGTAGACCAGTGCTCGTGAAACTTGATAGATACTGGAGCTGGAGAGTGTATTCCTCCCCTTTATCAAGTAGGAGTTACTTCTAAAGTAGGTTTTGTACTGGTTAAGGTTTCATTTGGTAGGTAGTTAAAGAGCGACGATCGCTTCTGATTGCATCGACCAAAGGAAACGGTGAATTTTAGTGTCACTAGAGGTTTTGGAAATTTGGTTAGAAGGTTCACAAGAAATACAGCTGAAAAAGAGTTGAATCTAAAGTTGGTACTGTAATTCATGTAAGTAGCTTGAATGGTTTTGAAACTGCGACTGTCATTGTAATAATGTTATGCGATTTCAATGACGATGAACCTCTTAAATCGTGAGCAGTTTCAAGAGTTGACATTGCGTTGTAAATGCAGATGACGACTGATTTTGAGATTAAACTCATATTAATTTACGATGATCAACTCTGTAAAACGTTACACATTTAAAACTTTTGTCAGGAATGTTTTTTGTATTTTTTTCCCACCTAATAAGCTGTGTGTGATTTCAAAGTGCCTTATAAAGTGGTTCAGTGAAAATATTGTGGTGTAGGAATATAATGTCTGTTATTTTTCTAGTAATGTAGAGAGTAGAGTAGGTAATCGTAAAAAGATCAGATTTAAACTTTCGTAGATGGTGGTGGATATCCGAACGCGTCCTAATTATTTTTATATTGTTCATCAAATCGCTGCACTCTCGGGATTTGGTTGAGTGCAAACAGATGTTTGTATTATGTACTCACAATTTATGTAGTGACAATAGTCATTTAAGTAGAAGATTATTGCATTATGCATTTAAAATACTATGTATCTATTATCATCACAAAATTAGTAAGTACTAACTCTACACATTGTTTTTACTTTATTTATTTTTATATTATACAGTTTATAAACTGTCGATCAAAGTATTGCATAATATTTTTATTTTGTAAATAGTCTTTATTATATTTAAATGTTTTATGTCATTTAATTGTTTTTTGTAAATAGATAATGTAGAACCAAAGTTTATTATGTAAATTATTTTATATTTTATGAAGCATTTTCTATCAGTATTTTGAAAATGGTTATGGAACATGACAAAATATAATAATTATGTTTGCGTAGCATATTACAGTTATTTTAGTATCTAGTCTATGCATGTTGTAATTAGCTTCATTACAAATATTCTTAGTTTTTAGTTAGGAAGTAATATTTTTATATTATTAAAATGATAAATTGATATTTTCAGTCACCAGCACAGCAATCTACCAAGAAATCAACCTTGTAAGTAAGGTTAAATAAAGTTTAAAATCCATTTGGTTGGGTGCAGTTAGCTGGTGACTTTTAGCATGGAATTATTTTGGAAGTTCTTACAAATTGATCTGTAAAGATTTTTGTTCGAACAATACCTACAAGTAGAGTAGATACAGGAATCACCTTCATTTCTGTGAAAGATATTCAGTAAGGTATACAAAGTGTATAGCAATATTTTTGTTGCTGTGAATTTTAAGTTTTTCCAGTGCAAAATAGAAAACTGAATGATTTTCTAGTTTCATAGAGAGATTATTATGCATTTTACCACCAAATCTATTGTACTTAATTATTTTTAAGTTAAACTTTGTGGCTATGTAAGGGGTTGAGATTATTCTGTAAATATAAAATTGCCTTTACAGTGACAAGACTTTAGTATTTTATTATTAGTTAGAGGGAGTCGAAATTTTCTTACAATGTTGGATATGCGTTTCTATAGATTCGGTGTTGAGGATGTGTTGTATTGTTTGTATATTTGATTTCTATATGAATGGAAGTAAATGTTTAAGTCCTCAGGATAATAAACGATGGATGTGACCGTATTTTTGTGTAGTTTTATTTTATTTTAGTTACTATTTAAGTAGTTTGTGATACATCATATAAATCATTGACGGTTGTGTAGTTTAGTGGTTCGCATATTAGACCAATATGCCAGAGTTTGCGGGTTCGATTCCCGTATAATATTAATGTGTTGTGTGCATGAACATAATCTGGTGTGGGTGTAAAATGTACACGTAAGTATTTACAAAAGAAAGTATTTATTTTTCTGTCCGTTGTGGTACCAGACTCGTAGTAAGTAGCCTAGCTTAGTTTAGTAAGTTTTGAACTTGTACATTAAAAAAATAATATAAAAGGAGCTAAGTAAAATTATCAAAGACATTTATAAAAAGCAGGATTTTTATATCAGGAGCACTAATGAAGCCGTCGTCAAAATTGTCTGTAGCGTAAGTAATTATTACGTTTCATTGCATCATCCCAAATGATTAAAAATTAATTATTCTATAAATTTTAATTATTTTAGTCCATAAAATTAATCTATATTATATATAAAAATGAAACCCGTTTTCCGTTGTCACGACATAACATGAAAACGGCTTGACCGATTTGGCTGTTTTTTTTTTGTAGTTTTCTAATACTCTGTACAAGGTTTTTACGGAAAAAAATATAAAGAAAATCTCTACGCTAAGGCGGTACGAAGTTCGCCGGGTCAGCTAGTATTTTAATAAAAAACAACCGTCTAAAAAACCGTGATCGAGTATTTACACAAATATTGGTTCTCAAATAATTAGATTTTTATTTAATTTTATCTTCAAAATTCAATAAATTGTATTAATTTCATTTTTTTTCTTTTAATTTAAAGTTTTCCGTATAAGATTTGGAATGTATACAGTAGTTTTCAATCTAAAAGTTTCTAATTTGACTTCAAAGAGAAGCGACATCTTTCACTGAATACAGCCTTAATTTTCCCGCCGCCATTACAATGACATTTCCTTATTGTAAGAGCGTAAAGTTCATTTTAGCTGTAACTAAAATTAAAATCAGTTTTCTCATATTGCCAACACTGTAAAGATTAATCGTGGCGTGACATTTGACATTTTAAATTTTTGACGGTTGTTGAATAACTCGCAGCTTTTTTTGTTGAGTTGAAAGTGAAATTGTAATGTTCTTTGTAATCTTGGAGTGGTCGCGAAATATCTTGTTCAAGTGGATTATTATGCAGTGTAAATGGAATTTATAACATTAAAGTGGTGGTATAAAATAATTTTAATCCATAACTTGGTGCACCTGTTGAAAAGTGGAAGGTAGGTGAAAAGTTAAGTTTTCTAATTAGGTAGGTATGACTGTGTACAGAACAATATCTAATTCTTTACGCTGAATTAATGTGCATGTCTAGTAATAATGAAAAAAGTACTTCCTATCAATCTTTGCGATTCCCAATGTTCTGTTGCTAAGTAGGTAGGTATATAATAATGCGAAATAAAATTACCCGCAAATACTAATTTCTTAAACATTCATGGTTTTTATTAGCTTATGTACCTACGGACTGTTTTTAAGCTAAGATTTACTTATTTTGTCGTAGGTCCCAGCTTCTTCGTCACTACACTCTTGGCAGAGTGGTCGTGGTCATCACTCCTGGTTTCTCGCAATCCGTCGCCATTCCTTCAGCACTGCAGCCTTTCTTGTACACTCTGTTAGTGGGCCATTGAGTGTGGGTTTAACCTGACCGGTCCAAAGCTTGGTTGACCTGCCGCGCGCTCTTGTGCCTTCAACCTTCCCATGCACGACAAGTCGTTCAACAGATGCGTGTGATGTGGTCAAAGAAAACGAGACAGACCTTGGACAATGGAAGAATGATTCCCTTTGATGTCAAGTTCCTGAAGACCGGAGACCAGGCCGTCTTTAACTTGCTTGCTGGTCCGGCATACAAAGAAAGAATACGGCGCGGCGTCCCGTTTCTTTCAAGAATCAGCAGTCAAAGGTTAGTGAAATTGCTATTTTTTTATTCAAGTTGATTATTTGTACAGTGTAAAGTAATGAAATGTATAAAAATTATGTGTGCACCTGTTGAGTATAGTTTAGTTTAGGGTAAGTGGAAAGTGAAGTTTTCTAAGTAGGTACTTATTATGACTATTAGAACCTATTTTATCTTATCCCTTACGCTGAACTCATGGAGAATTTAAAGTGGTGAAAAATAAGCACTTCCTACCCGCCTTTGCGTTAGTGTGATTTAGGAAATTTGAATTATTTTATTGGTTCGAAATATACGGTAACTTTTCGCTGTATTCATTCATGATCAATAGATCATAGCTAGTAGATAGCAATAGCTACAATATGTATTTATTTTGTCGTAGGCACGGGCAGGCCGTCTTTAACCTGCGGCGGTGGGCATTCAAGAATTATGGCGCGGCGCGTTCCTTCAAGAAACTGCAGCATACAAAGGTAAGTGTTTTTTTCATGTATTTGTTATTGTTTGTGTTAGGAATACTGTGGTTTAAAGTGGGGAATCACATGGCGGCAGAAAATACATTGAAAGCAGGTTGGTCAGGGTGCCCAATCGGAAATAGGGGCCTACGGGGCCCGAATCCAACGGCTGTCTAACTCTAATTTTTTCGTCCATTTCATAACTACACCATGCCGTTGTTTCTTCGTGCGTGGATGTCATTGGAGAAGCTATCGTGCTATGCATATGGTGTCAAATGAGACCTAAGTATTATAAATTAGCGCTACTGGTGAGTAAAATCCGGTAAACCCGAATTGTTTTCTGTGGGTAGCTCTCCTATTCGTTCACTACTCGTATGAAGGTGTGCTGAAAACTAGTGTAAACGTTATTTTACTGAAATAAGCGCCATCTCTCGGTGCGTGGTCGAAGTTCTAGTTTAACTAAGATGTAAACGACATCGATTGCAAGGGTAATAAAATTTAACTAAGAAGTTAAATTAACTATCTTAATTCGAATCATATTTTATTAAGCAAAACAGTAGGTTTGGTGTGTTATCAGTTATGTACCATATTAGCTAATGCTTTAACATTCGTTAGAGGGCGCTGTAAGTGCTGTAACCCTGGACGTATAAAACGTCAATTATTAATTTAAACATTTTTTTAAAGCACCCTTTGACCCCTCGTGATTCGCCTGCTGTTTAGTTTTATTATGATTATTTTATTTTGTACATTACATCGAATAAATACTGTTTCTTTCTTACTTTTGTGGCTAGCTATGCTTGTGTTGCGAGTGGGTTCACCACAAAATAGGCAAGCAGCGCAGGGTTCGAACCCGCGTTCCTCGGATTTGTGTACCTATCATGAGTTTACGTTAGGTGTGCTCGCTAGCGAGTACGTCAAAAATCTCTATGAAGATTTTGTTTCTTTCTAGTAGCCGCTAGGGGCGCTGCACAACATGTCATACAATTAATGTCATTTTTTTACGCAGTCGCTAGCGAGCACACCTAACGTAAACTCATGGTAGGCACACTGACCCGACGCCGACACCATTGGGCTATTGGCGCTTTTGTTATTGTAACCTACCTACTATTTTATGTTAGTTAAAAACTTTCGTCGCATATTTTCGTTGATTTCATTATCTTTTAAAGTAAGAAGATTCATGCTCTTTGAGTTGTTATTGAAAATAATTAGGTAGATATTTTCTACTGTCAAAAATATAAGTTTTGTGGGATTTGCAGAGAAATGATAAACATTCAATTTAAAATTTGTTTTATTTTTATGTCTGTTCAGTTACATAGCCTTGCATAAAACAAATTGTCATACAAAAGTTAAACTAGTTTACAGTATATTCATACATAGTCACATTTTGATTTTTTTTATAATAAAGATAAAACACAAATCTTAGTTTATTTATTCGATTTAGGTAAGTATTTAACTTGTAGTAAATTGAGGTTATTGTTTTTTAATCTGTTACTAAGATATAATTAGGCATTAATGTTAACAAACATAACATAAAATTCGTCTAAACATAAAATAAAATCTCCTAAATCACATAACTATGATATTTGCTATATTTGTTACATAATACTTGATTCGTTATCATTTTTGGTCTACATTTTTGTGCGTATCGCTTCGGATGTATTATTTTTATCTTGTTTAGTTTACTCAAGTTGTAACATTATGGGGTACTTTTAAATTTAATAATAAAAATGTTACTAATTTTACAGTATTAGAACAAAGTATAATAGCTTACAAAGTCTGCATTAGATATGAAAATTATTTTTTGTTAAAAAATTACAATATTTTTGCACATTTTAGCGCTGTGAATGTTTATGAAATGTTCAAATTAGACACAATCACGATTAAATTTAATCATAACAATTTATGAAATTCAAAACGATAACGCGTTTCCTTTATACAAATATCCTATATATTACCTAGCTGCAATTCAAGTATTCTACACGATCAGCGATATAAAAATAGACTTTGATACGCATTTCCAAAAACAAACGAAATAACACTTTACGCTATATCCTTATAGGAAGTTCACACATCCGTCTGTCTGTTTGTCCACATTCCAAAACACGTCACATATTTTTGAAACCCCTCGAAGACAATGGGCGGCGCTCAAACAAAGAGTTCAAATATATCACAAGTTAACTCATCTATTGTAGAAAGTTGGCTCGAAGGCGCATACGCATCGAAAGTGTAAATTATCGTCTGAGCCAAAACATAATCTTTAATCTCTGAGCTCTGCTCTGTCATAACATTGGAGTTACAATAATAAAAGAAAAACAGTATTCGTATAAAGTTATAAACTTAAGCAACAAATGCATAGTCCTTATACAGAAAGAGATGCACAGAATTTTTAAAAAGTCACTTCTTAATCTGACTTACTAGGTTAATTTATCGGTGCATTTAGTTCAATCTCACTAAATATCTATTTGGAAATTGACAAACGAATACACAAAATCTTCTAAATGTTTTTCAAAGAACAAATTACATCCAAAACCTTGGGAATCGAAGAGTTTGTTCAAGAATTTATTTACGTTTGTTGAATTCCTCTCAAATAAATAGACCGTTGCTCCAAATATTCTAAAGTCCAAATGAAACCGCAATTGACCGAGACTCCATCACATATTCACGCAGCGTAGCTTCTTCTCGGGCACTCTTGAAGCGAACTGGAAGCTTGGCGTCGCTGGTTTGGCTTCTGCCTTCTCTTCTCTTCTACTCTCTCCCGCGTCACCCATAAGAGTTCGCAAGCAGACCCTCATGTCTGATGCAAACTTCCTCACCAGCCTCTCCAAAGAAAACAAATGTTCGTCCAACGCTTCAGGGATTTCTTCTCGCATGAAGTCTGCTAGCCTCAAGAGGTATTCAGCGTTGGGCCCTGAAGATCCTTGGCATTCTAGAATCTGCTTGGCTATGTCTGGTAAGGGTGCAGCGCCCAGCCAATGTCTGTTGCCCGGGACAGCTATGTATAGTACAGCATCTTTTTTGATCGTGGTTGCCGAGCTGGTGGAGTAGCTGTCTGGCTCGAATAAAGACGGTCGAGGGTGGAAGTTGACTGTGTAGACCCTGTAGCCTCCGAGTTGGCATTCTCGGGTGGAGAGGTAGGGCAGCGCCTCGTTATTTTCTCCAGCTACCAGGAACGCTTTGCCCCATGTTATGCCCTGGAACAAAAAGAAAAAAGTGTTAGATTCAAAGCAAAGTAGGAAGCATAGGTTAGAGTATCGAGCGTTTTCAAATTAGAATAACGCATGTAGTCCAGTTACAATTACCTGACCTTGTTTCTTAAGTTATACGACCCCCGATCCATATCATGAATAATTATTTGTTACCCACTTTACTTTCCATACATCATTTCAAAACGTTTTTTCAATCTAAACTCTACAGGGAAACGTACTGTCGTGACACGGATTCAGTGTTCATAATTTAAACCTTATGAACTTTGTAATTAATACTAGTTTGCGGTTTGAAGTTGGTTTAAGTTTGTTATCAATACCAGTTTACCACTTGAAGTTGGTTCAATTGGAACTGTGCTGAAAAGTATCCAGAATTATCTGTTTGCAGAAACGCGATAGATCCATAGGGTCGTTGTATCCCTTATCTTCGACTTGTTCTCGATGTGTTATTAAACAATTGTTATCCAATACTAAGATAAGTATCTGGCACACTGAATGATAGACTAGACTAAGATGAAATGAAATAAAAGTACTTATTTTTATACTTATTTAGCTATGTTTTTGTTTCGAACTTGAACTTGTTTAATTTTTTGGTTATTATAGATAAATTTCTTCAAGTTGTCTCATCTTCGGACAAGTACATTTGATGATAAACCAATTTTCTTGCGTTATCATTCCTAATTATCTGCACGTGCTTGTGTTGTTTACCAAGAAATAACATTATAGCGTGTCATGTTAACAAAGTTTATCATTTGGCTCATTTCTAATTTGTTGTTATTTTGTGGGTAGTACCTAAGTATCATTAACGTCGATCGTGGCACAATCATTTTGTATTCACCTATTACCCACTGAATAATATTGTATTGATCATGGCAAAATATTATTCAGTTATCTTTTCTGTATAGATTTTGGACTAAGCAGTCGTTCTTTAGTTTTTCTGCTTTAGTAAATAGTATGGATTTGCTAATTGTGTTCATCATGTTTTGCTTCGTGTATCTTTCCGTACTTTTTACAAATTAATGCGTTTTATTTCAATGATAAGAGCTCTGAGTCATTAGAGTTATAGGTAGGTATTAAAATGTTATTGTTATTAATTTAAAAAATATATGTAGTTCATTTAATTACTTCTATACAAGTAGGTATTGAACGAGAAGTGTGGTTAACTGATCAAGCTGTACAAATATCTGTCAATAATTACGTTATTTTCTTCACGCGTTTACATAGTAACTGCATCAACTAAAAACGAGTGGAAATTTTTAAGCGGAAAAGTATTTTCGACAATGTCATTCAGTCTTAAAAACTTTAGATAAAATGTGAAAATAGCTTATCTACAAAGATAACCGAATTAGTGTTTACTTTTGTGAAGCCTATCTACTTGTTATCTAAAGTATCTAAGATGGCAACTGAGATCAAATCGTGTTCAACAACCTATTCGCCTTAAAAAAAAAAGACTAGAAGAAAAACGATATTTATACTTTTTTAATACGCTTTTTTACTTAAAATCGCCACTGTAAATACCGAAGAAGTAGCCAGTAAGTAGGCTCTATCTTCAGTCTGTTGTTTAAAAACGTTTATTTCTGTGCGTATAATAAGCGTTTATCGTGCCTATATCAATAACGAGTCTCAAAATTTGGAATTTGATTAGTATTCCATGTTTGATTAATAGCTATTGACATAATGATATCGCTCTGACCTTGAGACCCGCAAAAATATTTTTATTTTTATCGTTATGTGCCATCTTTCCTTGCTGTTCAATAACAGCGACGCAAAAGCAATAATTTTATCAACTGGAAATCCTGTTAGCAAAAATTCAGGCTTCTGTACAACCAACCTCTCATTCTTGTTGTTGTTAACATATTTAAGCTGTCTTTGCATACGAATAACTATTATCTTCTACTATCATGTCGGTTGTAGCAACTTAGGTTTCTTGTCAAACTTGTAACAGCCGCCGTAGTAACGAAAGATAATTAAAAGCCTATGTACACTGCTGGGCCATACATGTGTATAGTACTGTATAGTGCCAGTAAAAAATTGCCCTCGAGGTCTAGTTCAGTCTGTCATCTTGAATCGGACGTACTTGTACTGATAAAAAGATCATTAGGCCTAACGTGTTTTTGAATTATTCTATGCCTATTAACCTTCTTGTTATTGAACATACAGTAGTTTTATATGACCTGGTTTCTTTATCATTTGCAGGGTGCCTACTGGTTGGATGACTGGCGTCTTTTGCGACCTTAAGTTGGCATCATTATAATTTGATATCTTTTGTAATTTAGATTTATGATTGTTATTTTTTCAATATCATCACTAAGCCTGTAGATGTCTGCTGATAAGATTCCATTATCGTCAAGTGAAAAAGGTTCATATTCCCAACATCTATTCTTCAAAACCTCGTTAAAATTTGCTTTCGTGGCGTTGTCTGGTAGTGTCACTCTCATAACAACCATTTTATAGCTATTTTTTCGTCTAGCAAGCTATTCACTAACTTAACTTGGGCGTATTATGATTTCGCGATTCAGGAATTTTCTTTTGTTTTGTCGCCAATCCTCTACTACAAACGTCGCGCGTCTATCATTTGATATAACAATAAATGACCTATTGACCGGTAACAAAAAGCTTTGTTCCACATCCTTCAGATATAGCCACAATAACGCCGTTGATCCAAGATGGCGGTGAAATAATAACAAAATACGACCATTCACGGACATTGTTATTAAACAAGCCGCGCCGTGTTATGAGAGTGGCTTGAGGAAAATAAGCTTATTAATGAGCTGCCGTCATTAATAACGATAAATATTATCGCTTTGTTTTCGTTGAACTTGTAGGCCTAAATTTTGATGATTGCTAATAATTTTATAATATTTTATCACTGTAAGACTAGGCCACCGATTTTTAGTTGGCCGATAGTTGGGCCCGATTTTAATTTGTATGAAGAATCTGCGTAGTGTGCGCACTTCCATATATGTCTGTACTGATCAATTGCCCGACTAAACTATCGGCCGACGAAAAATCGGTGGTCAGCGCCTAGGCTAAAGGCGTTACATGAAGACATTTTTCTTCTAAAGGTAAAATAATTACGTTAAGTGCCCCAATTTTACTGATCCATCGTCTTGGAACACTTGCTAAAAATAAGCGTCCTTGTCCAGGAATGGATGGTTAATGCAAACAGATTTTATGATGAGGTAGGTATTTTAAGATGATGATTGATTGATGATCTCGATGACGTCGGCAAACGTCGGCTATTTCTGTAGACAACATAACATTCGCTTTCTAGATCGCTTCGCTATGTCCCAAAGTTAAAACTAGACGATCTTTAGAAGAATTCGTTTGTGAGGGGTTGCCTTCTGGCGTCATTTCATCCCACACTCTTAGCTCAGTGCGTCATTTAACTTATAACTGTTCTCTGACGCACAACGTATAATTCAACGAATATGTAAATACGATAATATCTTTCCACGTTTAAAGAAACTAGTAACATCACCGAAACATGATGTCAGTATTTAGTAATGAACATTAAAAGTTATAGTTTATTTACTTGGGATCAGGTGATAATAATATAATTCAAGCATTATTGTTGACTAACGTCATCAAAACAATTTATTGCACATCTCTCAACTCCAGCACTGTGACTCCAGTCAATATTAATAAATTAGTTGCACATCCTTGTTACGATGACGCAATGGCTGCGTTTCATTTCTCTGGAAAAGCCTGCGCTACGTCCTGCAGTGCGAATTGAAATGAGGAAGGCCACACAGTTGGGAGTCTTTAGTAGGCGACCGCACAGCCTGTGTATGAAATCTGACTCGGCATTCGAAGGTCTATTAGGAACTTGCAAACATAATACTTGTACTTAATATTATGTGCATTTTATATCAGAAGTCATTGTTCTATTTTATCGTTAAATTTTTTCGCCTTAATCATGATCGTGACTGATGACGTTGACTTGACGTTACAGGAAGTAAAGATTGGACTGGGTATTTAATTGTTACCAAATTGGTAGACGTTGCCAATAATGACGATGTTTGCAGTGAATATGTAATAGACTTTTATAGGGTTTTTTCTTAGACTGAAATAAATGGAAACATTTGGTGTCAATATTTTAATCTAGCGAATTAGTTTAGAGCAGTTCTGTGATCTTAGACTTATGTAAAGTTGTTATTATGATCAGCTTGGTCGTCGCCGGGTGCGCTATCTCAAAGCACGCGTCGTCGTGACGTTGGGGCGTGATTATGACGAATTTCCCCGTCTGGGTTAACTATAAAAAATCACTTTACGTAAAGTTTTAAATATTATATTTATTTTTTCTTGGCCTGTGACCAAATGAGAAACTATCTGCACAATTCTTGGATTTCCTGATGATTTTTATACAGGGTGTTTCTTGTAAGGTGTCAAGCCGAAGGCAGGTGATAGGTGAGGACTAGACCTATCGATTTCACCCCCATGTATGTTTTACGATTTTTCATAGTTTAGAAGTTATCGTTAATTTTGTGATTTTTTCAAATTGTATGACCTAGTAGGCTTTAAATTTTTTTAACTTTTTTTTGGGTCGACTTTTCTCAGATTTCTTTTTTTTGACAGATTCCCTATTAATTGCAGATTTTTGAAAAAAATAATCAACTTCCTATCTTTGATGCAAGATACAAAATTTTTGCTAGAAACATAAAAAATATGCTTTAGTCCTAAGAAAGTCAAAAACATGTAACGGAATCTCCGACTTACCACATTAGTGGAGCGATTACAGAAAATAATGGCCTATTAAGTACATGTTTTTTTGTTTTATTATGAAAGTTCAGAAAACTGCGCAGTTTTTAAAATTATTTTGGACCTATGGAATTTCTTCTTTTTTTTTTAACTTTTAAGTTGAAAATTTTAGAATGTTCCGCTAATAGCATATTTTTTATGTTTCTAGCAAAAATTTTGTATCTTGCATCAAAGATAGGAAGTTGATTATTTTTTTCAAAAATCTGCAATTAATAGGGAATCTGTCA